TCTCTCTCTCTCTCTCTCTCTCTCTCTTTCTCTCTCTCTCTCTCTCTCTCTCTCTCTCTCTCTCTTTCTCTCTCTCTCTCTCTCTTTCTCAAGCTGCAATCTCAATTGTTACTGCACATCGCTTTTAACATACTTGTCAACATTTTTTCAACAAAGGTGGAAATATGTCGATATGGTTGCCTGGATCACTGTCAATTGAGTGGTTCCGTGGCTCACTATGTACAAGAGAGAAAAGATCAAATACGACCGCAGTACGTACAGAGCACGGTAGTCTCTACCACTCCCGATGACTATAATAATAGCGCGAATAAACACGACGAAGACGCGGACAGTGACGCTGAGCAAGAGGATGGTCCTTCGTACGACGACGTCATCCAGAACGGTGACGAGATGGCGTCAATCGACAAGCATTTCCTTGACGTTGAAAAATTGCTTCCGAAAGCGCAAGCACAAACGAGTAATCGATTACCACCGACTATAACCGAAACGCAACCCAATAGCAAGATCTATTTCGATGATCTATCAAAGTCATTCATGGTAACTGTGAAAACGCGCTGCTCTTAATTGCGCTGGAATCGACCACGATCATATTGTTTGCTTTTGTTTCCAGGAACCACCGCGCATAATTAGATACGAGAGCGAGCAGGATTTTCCGCACGGGCCACGCAATCTCGAGGAAGACAGCGGCGCGACGCCGCTCTCTACCGGCACTACCCGGCGAAAACGCTCGATGACAGTGACGGATAGAAAAGTGCGCAGCGCTGACGTCGGTGTCAGCGGTATCTATGAAGTTATCTCCGAAGCGGATCTGGCCTTCAGTCCAGACGCGCACGTCGAAGCAGTAACCGTTTTCCAAGGTAGAATACGCGAGGAAGTAGTTTACGGGATCTGTCTGCCAATGCCGGGTTTCAGCGCGCTCTTCATTGTCGTCGCCCTTTCAGCGGTTGTCTCTGCGCTTGTTGCTGGTGCAATGCTGCACCGGCTGCAAGTGCAGCGGGAAGTTACTGTTGTTAACAAGGAAAACAACCAAACTGACGTGCACATAAACAACAGTTGGTTATCTTACGGTCTACTCCGCGTGCGCTGCACAGCGCGATCCGTTCACCATCCCGAAGAGCTGAAGCAAGCAAGCCTGGCCTCGCAAGCCACTTCGGATTCGTCAGTCGAACGAGGCTGACGACGAAGTCAGGGATTCGCTTCGGTCTCAAGACGCGCTGATTAGATGAATCTGAAGAAAAGACAATGTGCAATACTATGCTGTACAAAGTATTATAAGTGCATATAAGAATCCGCGCGATTACAGGTCAAGAAAACTAATTATTTTGCAGGAAAATGCACGCAGGAAAGAGGAGAATGAAAATAAAAACTATTTATAATATTGACATGTCCGAGTGTCTTCCTGCGAATCGCGCGATTGCACTGAATTTTCGCGAATCGCAGTCACCGAGAACTTTGTCTTTAGGTACGTCTTTAGTCTGATTTTTAGCGAATCTATCTTTGTAACTGTCATACTATATAGGTATAGGCACAATCTTGTAACCCGATGTTAATGATAATGTCCTTGTTATAAATTGTTTTATAAATATATATATATATGTATATATATATATATATATACTTTTATTAATCCTTTGTGAACAGACTTTAAACATGACGATTATTTGGACAGTCTGGTCTGTGAGACCCACACGACTTTCAAATCGAATATCTCTGCAAAAAATTAATATTTTTTCAATTGTCTTTTTGAAGCAAAAGGTTGAATGATTCTGCATCAATAAAAAAACAAATTGAAAAAATAGTAGTTTTGAAGATAAGCGTTTAAAAACACTAATATCTACTAGAGACACGCAATTTTTGAGTGTATCTGGTATTCTCATATCTGTCCGCAAAAAGTTAGATTAATTATTACAGAAAAGAATAACAAGAGAAAAGTAAAATATACTCTAATTTGAGAAAAAGATTTGTTATAAAAAAATGATACAATATTTTATACCTTATAAGATTTTTTACATAATAAATATGCAAGAGAGAATAATATCCTTAAATATTAATGTAACTCTTCAGTGCTAGACATAAAAAATGACTTACGAGTTGTCCAGACTAGATCTGTGAGATCCACGCGACTTTACGTTTGAATATTTCCGCAAAAATTCAATATTATTTTAATTTTTTTTTAATCGAAAGGTTAAATAATTCTGCGTTGATCAAAAGAAACAGATTGAAAAAATATTCAGTAGTTTTGAAGATACAAACGTCTAAAAAGACCTGACAATTTTGTTTTCAAAAAAAGGCTTTTTGTTTAAAAATTTATAACTTTTTGTATAAGTAAAAGGTGTAAAAAATTCTAACGCGGTTTTGTACAAACTTCATACTTTCAGGGATAAAAGCGTCTTCTAAAAATTGCAAAATTAAAAACATTTTTACAATGAGTTTTTTGAGATGTTATTTGAAGAATGCATTTTTGTAGCGCTCAACTTTGACATGCAGTATTTTAAAAAATTAATATTTAGACATATTCTTTTTTTAAATAGACAATTTAAAATCAAAAAAAAAAATTGAAAAAATCTCTAGTAGTTTGAAAGAAACGTTTGAAACGTTTTTGCGCACCATGACCTAATAAATCGCTATAGATGTACAAATATTTTGATAAAATTATGAAAAAACAACAATTTTTTAATATTAGAAGTGTACAAACTGAAAAAAATTTACTTACTTTTCGAAATACTAACATCTTGTCCAGGCTTAGATCTCAGATACTTTTCGCGCTTCAATATTCAAACTTCGTAAAGTTATTAAACAAAGGACGCTGTCAACGACGTCTATCATTGTCTAAAGCCCTAAAGTTTTTTTTCATGGCCTTCAGATATCGCGCTAAACTAATACTTAGAGACACCGGTTTAAAACTTTTGAGTAGGTCTCGGAGACTCATATCTGGCACTAAAGGGTTAATAATGGTAAACTTTGACAATACCAGACTCAGCTCTAATGATCTTGACCTTGAAATTTTTTGTCGAGGACATATTTCCAAGTAATCAAAAGATTTGAATCGTCGCTTATTATTTATTAAAAAGATGTATAAATTATTTATTAACAAAAAAAATTTCGTAAATAAACGTTCGTTTTTCGACATCATGTACTTTTGAGAAGTAAATTTTGTTTGTATCATACACCATTGTACACGTGTGTGTGGGCGGAGCCTCTCTCTACATTTCCTCCTCAAAAAACTTAATCCAACCAAATATAGTACTGCAATAGTAGTAATACATTGACAAGCAATGTGCTTCGTGACAACTAATAATATTGTAGGTTTACATACATTAAGGCCACCAACTCTTAACGAAGGAAAAAAAGGATATTTTTAAAAAGAGAACTTCTTTGTTACATACATAAATAATAAAAAAATATTATATTATGTTCGTAAATTTTTATATAATATTATTTTATTTGTAAATAATATACTTAATGTATTACATGAGATCCTAACTAATGTGCAAAATAAAAGTATCAAATTATAAGATCACATCTTACATTTGTACTTTTCCACTGAATGTATTTTTTAATACATTACATATTTTTAATACATAATATTTGAAGTTTTTAATAAAAAATCAGAAAATTCTTTACACGTTAGTTATGTTAAAAGTTGTATTTTATGTTGTTTTTACCAATAATTGTGTTTTTTCGGGAGGTCATATTTGGTTGATTAAAGAAAGAACTTGTTCGACGCAACCATTTGTTCTTAGAAAACATAAACCCAATTCTACGTATACTTTTAAATTCTTTACGTCAATGTGTTACTGATTAAAATATTAAAATATTTTTGGCTATCGTTGATGAACTTCTTTATTGTTATCATATCATTTTTTTGGTTTTATCAGAAACATACGTACTTACTTTTTTTATTTCGTCAATTAAAATAGTGTTATTAATTTTTATAACTGAATATGTTTTTTCCATCATTTGAACCGTTTCTTGAACATTATTTATTTAATTTTAGTTTTTAATAATAATCAAAAAAAATATTTAGTTTTATTACAATGGCCAGTCAAAGAACTTAAATAATTTATACAAGTTGTAATAAGTGTATAAAAAATTTCTGTATGTTTTTTCAACAGTAAATTATCAAATTTTAAGTAATTGAGCAAGTTGAGCTTTAATACTTAACGGTTTATATGATTCTTGTAATTGATATTTATAATTATCATTTACATTATTAATAACATCATATATTTTCATAATTGTTAGGATTAATAATTTAATTTTTAATATTGCATTATAATTATGTACTAAAAAAAGAGGAACACTTCATAATCATGTCTTTAATTTGGGACGCATTGTAAAGTGGGGCAAAGAAAATTTAAAATTTGTCCTTTCTAATTCAAGACAGTTACTTTAAGTAACATCGATTGAGTTAAGTTAGATTTTTTTGGAGATGCAGGAGATTCCGTTCTCTCTCTGCTTACACGTGTACGATAATGTATGATACAAACGAAATATTTACTTTTCAAATGTACATAGTGTCAAAAACCGAAAGTTTATTTATAAAACGTTTTTTGGTAATAACTTTAATAAACAATGAACAACGGCTAAAACCATTTGATTGTTACTTGGAGATATGTGTTTGACAACAATTTCAAGATCAAGATCATCGAGACTGAATCAAGGTATTGTCAAGTCTTACTTTAGTAATTCTATTAAATTGTAACTCATATTTGTTGTATTTTTTTACAACAAACTAATCTTTTTAAACAATACTTTTGTTGAATAAAACTTTTTATATTATTTAATATTAGATTGTTTATATAATAATTTGTTTTAATATTCAAAACAATAATTTATTGTTTTGTAAACAATAGTTTCTTTGATGATAATCTACGACACAAAGTACTTTTTTCGATCTGGATCGTATGTAAGGATTACGATAATTTAACAATTCTTTGATTTTTAAATCACGATTAATCGATTCTAGCATTTATTGCAATCGTACAAAAACCTATCATGTGCTATAGGCTTTACATTGAAATATTAGTTTAACATTAACTGTTGTTAAGAGTCAGTGGCCGAACAATAAAGCACTCGCCTGTCAAATAGAAATCCCAGATCTGAATCCTAGTCGAAATAATTTATAATAACATTTTTTCCTATCAATTAATCTTAGAATAATCAGAGAACTAAAAACTTCCTCAAAGATATTAAATATAAAATTAAATGTGTGTGTATTTTTTATATAATAATTATAAAAGCAGTAATTTTCAATTAACTATTGTATTTAAATAAAACATATAAAGTTAAACAATTAAAATGTTTAGTTCAAAATACAGTTTGTTTGAACTACAACAATAGAATAAATTGTTTAGATTTAACAAATTTTGCTATAAATCTAAAAACACTTCTCTTTGTGTATACAGAGTGTTTACTCTAACTCAAATATTTAGATTATCTTTGTTGTTTGTAATGATACAAAAAAATACCAAAAGCAAAAGTTGATTCAAAGAAGAATAAATATTATGATATGTAAAAAATTTCCTCAAGGTCATATTTTCTAAGATTTTAAAGTCATCGCCAATTTTTAATGGAATGGCATATTTTCATTAATGTAGTAATATAGTTCATAAAAAAACAAATTTAACCATATAAGATTTGTTGATCTTGAGATTATCTCAAACTTAACAAAATTATATTTATGTTGGAAAAGAACTAAATCAACTAAACACAGTTTTAATATTTATTTTTTTAATTTTTTTAGAAGATGATCCACATGATTACTATTAACTTCCATACATTTTCGAATACAATGAATAAATGATTTTTTCGCACTTTTAATAAGTTGTTATAAATGCTGTGAAGAAGCTAAATAAATAGGTGTAAATGTTTTTAAATGTACTTCTAATTAAAAACATGCCGGCGATACAAATTAAAATCAAGTTTTGCACTATTGACATCATATTAACACGTTAAGTGCTACGCCGATTTTGATTGACTTTCCACTCGAGCGGCACGTAAGCAATATAAAGCCTAGCGTCGGTTCGCGGAACGGAATTTGCGAGACAGAAAATGCAGCGCATCGGCGTAGCACTTAACATGTTAATATAATGTCAATAGTGCACAAAATGATTTTAATTTGTATCGCCAGCATAGTTTTAATTAGAAATACATTTACAAACATTTACACCTATTTATTTAGCTTCTTCACAGCATTTATAACAACTTATTAAAATTGCGAGAAAATCATTTATTCATCGTATTCAAAAATGTATGGAAGATAATAATTATGTTAAACATCTAAAATAAATTTAAAAAATAAATATTAAAAACATGTTTAGTTAATTAAGTTTTTCTCAAACATAAATATGATTTTTTTATGTTTGACATTATCTCAAGGTCAGCAAATCTTATACAGTTGACTTTGATTTTTATGAACTACATTACTATGTTAGTAAAAATATGCCATCTCATAAAAAAAAGTGGGGATGACTTTAAAATCTTAAAATATATGACCTTAAGAAAATTTTTTGCATATCATAATATTTGAAACTTTGAATCAAACATTTTTCTTTGTATTTTTTTGTATCATAATAAACAATAAAGATATTCTAAATGTTTGAGTTAGAATAACTCGTGTATAAATAAAAAAAGAACATACGCAAAAAATACACACATATTAGAGAAAGTAACCCAAAAAAAAGTAATATTGGAAATACTCGTAATTATTGTATTACTAATGTAATAAGAATGTGTTGCCGTACAAGTGATACAAACAATACGCAGCCAGTTTGCTATGTTGCATTGATTGAATTGTCTTCGAAAGACTCATGACGTTACAGATTGTATTGTCAAGGTTGACTAATACAAAGAATCGTGAAGCATACTTTACAAATAAGTCCTTATATAGATAAGTAACACAGTTATTATAGTGTTGTTTTATGAATTGTTTAGGATATTGTGTTATCCTGCGACATTCTTTCTCA